CTCCTAGATCAGTATTCCTGATGGCTGGCTATGGATGGCCTTGGTGCCTCTCAGAGTGGCCTGGGCTGGGCTGGGTGCCAGAAGCTTGATGCAGACAGCTTTGCTCAGCAGACACTCAAGTGCAGCTTTGAGATGAGCCGGAACCACGGCTTTGGGAGAGAGTGAGGGCACTGGCAGGATCCCGCTGCCAAGCTGAGGGGCACTGGGGGAGGGGCACTGGCTAAGAGCGAGAAGGTTCAAAGGGCTTGCCCTGAGGAATCACACTGTTTGGAAATCCCAGCCTGGACTTCTGCTGTTTGATTTGGGGACGCTTCCTTTCCTCACGTCTAATGCACAGGTTTGTGGAGAGAGTTAATAATAACACCTCAGTAGATCCTGGGTCATATATGGCTCAGTCTCAGCTTGCATCTTGTTATAAAAAATTATAGTCTAAGGCTGGAGGTGTGTGTAGATTGGTTGGTAGCGTTTGCCTGGGTTGCACAAAGCACTGGATCCCACTCCCACTTAGTACCAAATACACTGGATACAGTGGTGCATGCCTGTAATCCCAGCCCCTGGAAGGCTGTTAGAAGGAGCGCCAGGAATTCCAGGCCAGCTGGGGCTACAGAGTGAGTTCTAGCAAGTTAAGAGTGAGAACCTGCTTCAATAAAACAAAACAAACAAACAAGAAATGTTGTTGGAGAGATGGCTCAGTGGTTAAGAACATTGGTTGCTCTTCCAAGGACTTAGGTTTGAACCCCAGAACCGATATGGTGGTTCACAATTGTCTCTAAAGCTAGTTCCAAGGGATCTGACATACTCTTCTGGCCTCTGAGGACTCATGTGTGGTACACAGACATACATATAACACAAAAATAAGCTAAAACAAATGTAGCAGGAATCTTAAAAGTTCTTATTAATAAAAACCAAACCTGGAGCCAGGTATTAGGGTGAATGCTGGAAGATCAGAGAAGCAGAACAAGCCACAGCCACCTCACCTCGCCAGTTCCTCAGCTGATCCTGTTTCCTCAGACTGGATGCCTCTCAGCTGAACTGTGCTGCTCCAAAGCCTGAAAGCTTAACCAGGCTAAAAGCTTCTAGTTCCTGGTCCTCACGCCTTATATACCTTTCTGCTTCCTGCCATCACTTCCTGGGATTAAAGGCATGTGTCACCATGCCTGGCTGTTTCCAGTGTGGCCTTGAACTCATAAAGATCCAGAGGGATTTCTGCCTCTGAAATGCTAGGATTAAAGGTGTGAGTGCCACCATTTTCTAGCCTCTGTATCTAGTGGCTGTTCTGTTCTCTGACCCCATATAAGTTTATTAGGGTGCACAATATTTTGGGGAACACAATACCACCACAAACAAAAGATGACATTCATGAGGCAATTGAGATGATTCAACTTAGTACAAAGTGTCTCCTGTGCAAGCCTGAGAACCTGAGTTTAACCCCCAGAATCCACATAACAGATGGGGCCACAGTAGCACATGCTTACAACCCCAGCGACTGGGGGAAGGATCTCACGGGACCCCTGGAGCTGGTTGCCTGCCAATCCAGTTCATTGGTGATCCCCAGGTCACGGTGAGAGACCCTGTCTCTAAAAATAAGGTGATGGCTTCTGAGGAACACCAGAGGTTGACCCCTGACCTCCAGCCTACACACACACACACATACACACACACACACACACACACACACACACACACTCCAAAAAATAGCATAATTCTCACAAGAGAAGACTCCCAAGGTGTCCCCCAGACACCTGGGATTCTGAGGAAAGAGCCACTGCAAGTGACAAGGTTCAAGCATTGATGATGTTGACTCACTGAGGGCTGTAACTGGCCTTGAAGTGTCCCCTCCCGAGTGAAGGGGCTGGGTGGAGCCTGTGTGAGGGTTTAAGGGATTTGGGCTCAGGAATGGAGGAGGCAGGGTTTCTTACCCCCCCCCCTTTTTTGGTAATAGCCTTGACACCTTTATCAGAGCCTAGGAATGTTCAAGGTCCTGGCTGTGGCTCCAGCCTGCTGAGAAAAACCAGCAGCTGGCTGGGCCACAAAAGTCCAAACAGCCTATGAGTTTCCATCAGAGCACAGAAAGTAAGTAAAGGGCCTGAAGAGCCCACCCCAGTGAAGGAGGCCGCCCCAGTGAAGGAGGCCGCCCCAGTGAAGGAGGCCGCCCCAGTGAAGGAGGCCGCCCCAGTGAAGGAGGCCGCCTCAGTGAAGGAGCCCACCCCAGTGAAGGAGCCCACCTCAGTGAAGGAGGCCACCCCAGGGAAGGAGCCCACCCCAGTGAAGGAGGGAGCCCACCCCAGTGAAGGAGGGAGCCCACCCCAGTGAAGGAGCCCACCCCAGTGAAGGAGCCCACCTCAGTGAAGGAGGCCGCCCCAGGGAAGGAGCCCACCCCAGTGAAGGAGGGAGCCCACCCCAGTGAAGGAGGGAGCCCACCCCAGTGAAGGAGGGAGCCCACCCCAGTGAAGGAGGGAGCCCACCCCAGGGAAGGAGCCCACCCCAGGGAAGGAGCCCACCCCAGGGAAGGAGCCCCACCTCAGCAGAGGAGCCCACCCCAGTGAAGGAGCCCACCCCAGTGAAGGAGCCCACCCCAGTGAAGGAGCCCAGGCAAAGATCTTTCCTTTCTGAGCCACTCTGAGTGGGGTCACCAAACTAATGCATCGTCTCTCCCTTGCAGACCGGCAGAATCGAGCCAAACTACCCCAAGGTGTGCGGTCATCAAGGCAACGTGCTGGACATCAAATGGAACCCCTTCATTGACAACATCATCGCCTCGTGCTCCGAGGACACTTCGGTGAGCTGAGCAGTGGTGGTCCCCAGGAACGACCCTGAGCCCGCACCTCCCGCTTCCCCCAGAGAGCCTCTGTCCACACACTACCCTCTTTCTCCTCTCAGCCCTGTGCCCGATCCCTCCCTCCTCCAGCCAGTCCCAAGATAGAGAGGATGGGGTCAGGGAGGGACTGAGGAGAGGATCTTTGCTGGGCACACCCCTGCTTCAATAGCTGACTGAGTGTGGACGTGTAGGTGAGAATTAGAATCAAAAAATTCGGTGTGATTCAGCCTCTGCCCGTGCTCTGTGATGCAGGGCGGGGGGGTGGGGGGGGGTGGGGGAGGAAGGTGCAGAGGAGAAGGAAGGAAGGGCTGAGGCAAGGGGAGAAGGGCTCCTGAGCTTTGCGGGTCACCTGGGTGGAGAGCAGGTGACTGTGTAGATGCGAAGGAGGAGGAGCTGGGACACCGCTCAAGTTGGTAAAGTGCTGGCTGGCAAGCATGAGGATCTGCGTTCAGTCCCCAGAGATGGAGGTAGAAAGGGGGCTGAAAAATCCAGGGACATTGGCTTCAACACAGCCTTCTCCCCACTCCCCACTCAGGTCTGCATGTGTCAGAGGGGCAGTGGAACAGAGGCGGATTCACAGTGTTAGCCAAGCTGGCACGGGGGGGGGGGGGTCCCTTTGTTCCCAAGTGAAGGTGGCTCTGCTTTTCAGCCAGCCCACTGGGGCTACCTGTGTTCACCGCATAGTCTGAGGACAGGCCACGAGCCCAGGGTACTAGAACTGGAAACAACTTCAGAGCTGTGTCCCTAACTTCCCAGGCTGGACTATGAACTCCAGAGGGAAGTTTGGCTCTGCATCACTGGCATTTAACACAGGACCTCATATCTAAACAAAAAAAACGAAAACAAAAACAAAAAAAAACCTACTGCAGATTGAATGAACAGTTAGATGCATCAATGGAAGGACTTGTGCATGGATGCATGCATGGCTGGAAGAATGCACACATGGATGGATGGGTGGACGTCTGGGTGCATGGACTGACAGAGAAATGGTTTAATGGATGGATATATGATAGATAGATAGATAGATAGATAGATAGATAGATAGATAGATAGATAGATAGATAATGAATAAATGAGTGAACGGATATGATGGGAAAGGAGATATTGACCGTAGCATCTCCATGAATTCATCAAGTTGATGATGAGATCAGACAGAGAGGTGAAGGGAGCTGGAGAAGTGGAGAGGACTTGACTGGGATTCCTGAGGGCAGCGATCCTGAAGGAAGTGCCCGTGGGGACAGTGAATGAAGGCAGGAAAGGAAGCCTGGTGGTTTTGTTACTGTCGTTAGCTGCTTCGGGGTCCAAGTGACCGGGGGACAGCTAGCAGGGGCCAGGTCACAGGAAGAGTAGAGCTGCAGACATGTGGGCAGGAGGTGGTGGAGCCAGGACATGTGACAGGGAAAATCGTGGGCTGCTCCCTGGCCTGGGAAGAAGGCAGGTGGAGCAGGTGAGTCCAGGGAACACTGTGGTCAGATCAAGAAAGGCTCGGGGGCTCAGGAGGAAGGAGGGCAGGCAAGATGGCTACCCATCCAGGGAGCCTGGAAGGACAGGGCTTGCATCTGGCTCTGTCCCTGCCTGCTGAAGTGTGATCGACGTGACTCCCAGCCAGCAGGAAGCACTCTGAGAAGTGGGGCTCTTTGCATGCACTCTGGTGGTGGTATTGGGGGGGCACATGACATGCCACCCTGGAAGACAGGCCCCGCTGAGGGAAGATGTAGCACACAAAGGGCAGTGTAAGACCCAGCTGGGAAGGAGAAACAGTCAGGTCATCTGGGTCTGGAGAGGGGCAGATCAGGCCCCAGCCCTTGGGACTACCGTCTCCCTCGGGTCACAGATTCCTTCACCTACATCAAGGTGAGATGGACCTGCCTGGTGCTAGCTTGGCCTCCTTTTCCACCCATTGCTGCTTCATCCTCCTGGATGCAGCCGATGCACAAGACATCCACGGTGTGTAGTCACATAAGCTCAGGGCTCAGTCCTGCTACAGGAGCCGGATGATTGGTACCCACTGACAAACTGGGCCTGATGAGCTCCTGAGGTCCCAAGAGAACTCGACTACAGGATCTGGTGGCCTTGGAATGAGACCTCAGGGCCACAGCTAAGCAGGGTGCCCAGGGTATATGGCTTCACCTCTCTGGGCCCTGGCTCTGTTCATTTGAGAGGCCATTAGTAACAGGGCCCTTATCCCCATCAGTGGAGGCGTATGAGGAAGCCCATACCTAGCCCTGCGCCTGGCACCTCACAGATACTTGCTGTCTCAGTCTGGCTCAGCAAACAGCCCCCACAAGGAGGCAGGGCCCACCAGCTGGAGAGAAGACACATGCAGATGAGTCAGGGCTACACTGAAGTTCCACAAATAGTGTGGGCACAGAGAAGAGGGAGGGACTAATGATGACCCAGATGCAGGAAAGCGGACTTGGGAGGGCTGGACCTGGAAGACTCGGGGTTATTTTGTTAGGGCCAGAGCTTGGGCCACCCATGCGCAATAGGCCAATTCAACAGACAAAGTAATAGTGAAGCAAAGAGAAAGGCGAGTCATTTGGAAAATTATTTATCCAGTAGGCGCTCCTGGTGGGGTACAGCCCTATCTATCACTGGCCCACCAATGATGGGCTCCAGTCTCTTCTTCAAGGTGGCCAAACGAGCTTCCGAAACTGTACCGAAACTGTACGAAACCTCTTTCCTGGAGACAGGCTTTGCCTCTGGCTGGCATCAGGATTCAGCCTCTTGTTTCTCCCTGCGTGAGATTCCTTCGGGAATTGTAATTTCCTGGGGGCCATGGTCTCGACAGTCTGGTAACAAAAAGGAGGCCACGTGTTTCCTTAGTGCATCTTCACTCCTGCCGGTATGATTACACTTTGACCTGAAGAGAAAGGGTTAAAGCAGCCCCAGGAAGAGCCCTGGCCCAGGCCCAAGCCTGGAGGAGGTGCACAGGGTGCCTAAGAAAGGGAGGGTCCTCCAGCATGGTGGAGTGGGTGATGTCACCAGGGGGGTGAGCAAGGAAGAAGGCTGCAAAGGGAGGTTGGGATAGATAAGGCTGGGTGAGAAGTGATACCTGAGCTTCCCAAGCCAACTGAGCATCCTCTGGGATCCAGGGGGTGGGGGTGGGGAGCCTCAAGGGGTCACAGCCACATTTTTTTTTTTTTTTTTTGGAGAACATGAAGCTCCAGCCAACTGGATGGAGGTTTGCACACAGCATGGATGAGCAGGGAGAAGGATGGACAGGCAGACAGACAGAAAGACACACATATACACACACACACACACACACATACACACACTGGGGGGTGGAGCTCTGAGGTGGAAGGCTGGGAGCGGAAAAAGCAAGCTCGAGAATAGGAACAGCCCCCTGCCCCACCCCCACCCCCACCCCCACCCCCACCCCCACCCCCAGGCTGCTGATCTAGACAGGTGATTAAGTCTGAGATCAGGGAGGAGCTAAGCTTTAGGCAGCTGTCAGGCCAGCTGCTCCTGAAGCCAGGCTCTGAGTCCCACCTTAGCCCTCGGGTTTCTGCCCACACCTGTCCAGGGCTTAGGACCTTGGAGTCCACAGGCCCTAGGGTGAAGCTCCCCTCCCCTGGAGAACTGAACCCCGAAACCAAGGTTACATGGGGAACCTAATCAGCTCCCCACACTCCTGCCCTGCTACCTTGCCAAGGCTCTGTTTCTACAGGGGAGGAAACTGAGGCTCACAACCGTAACAGGCTGGCAGGCTGGAGCCATTGAACACTCCATCTTGGTGTCCTCTTTGTGTGGCCCATGCAAGAGAGTCATCTCCATCTGGGCCTGGAAACCAGAATGTCAGGAGTCTCTGACAGGCCTTCCTGCTCTAAGTTCTCTGGACTTCCTCCGCCAACCCATTCCAGCCTGAAGGGTCAACTTACTGTGCATCATACATGCGGAGGTGGGTCTGGGAGGTCCACAGGTATGCCAGACACAGTGGCCCCTAGCAGGACTGGGAACGGCATCTGGAAGGATCTCAGAAAGAAGCCTTTGCTGCAGGCCTGGCCCTTTCCCCTGGAAGTATGTGTCCACCCCTCACTAACCTCATTGTTCTCTGGTCCCAAAACATCCAGAGGATGCTACTGGGAGACAGGGAGAGTCCAGCAGCTCCTCCCCATCCCTCTCCCTGGGGAAATCTTTAGCACAGGCAGGATTGCTGTGTCCCTTGGGATCAATTCCCCTCCCCCAAGGCATGAGAGTCTTTTGTAGTCTATCCCTTACATCCCTGCAGGATTCAGGAAGCTTCTCCCCCAGAGGCCTCATCCTGGGGGAGGGAAGGGACCATAACTCTGCCTGGCATCTGGCAGAGAATCCAGCTCTTTTCACCAGCCTGCTGGGTGATGTCACCTATTGTTGGAGGGCTGTGCTTTTTATAGCTTCTGCTGCTGCAGCTAGGGAGGGCAGCTGGCTGGCTGGCAGGCAGAGAAGGGCAGTACAGCTTTCTTTCCAAGGCTCAAGCTCCCCGACCTTCATGGGGTACCCCCACCCCACCCCGTACTCAGAGGGAGATGATAGAGCATGAGACAGAGAGAAAGAGTTAGTTCAAGGAGAGGGGAGAAGATTCCCAAGAGAAAAGAGGGTCGCCGAGCATCGAGAGGGAGATCCCTCTCCCTGGTGGGCCAAGCTCGGTGTCTTTCTTTTACCTTCTGTTCAAACCCTACCACCGCATCGCATCTGTTCTCTACAACCCAAAGCTAATATCTCTCCGGAGGAGCTCAGTGGTAGAGTACTTGCCTAGCAGACTTAAGGGCCTGCATTCAATCTCCACTACAAGGAAGGAAGGAAGGAAGGAAGGAAGGAAGGAAGGAAGGAAG